CCGGCACAGGAGCAGCGGTCCGTCCATCCGTCCAGGTCACTCCCGTGCCACCCTCTCCGCCCCCACCGACCCGCCTGGGGCGCCCCGCTCTGGAGGCAGCTGCTCGCTGCCCCCCACAGGCCCCCGCACGGGGCCCTCTGTCCTCCGTGCCACGTCCCCGGCGGCTCCCCCCCGGGTCCCAGGGACAGTCCACATGACAAGGCAGAGCCGTGACATCTGGTCCCAATCACCCTCTTGGGTCTCCCCACGCCCCACGCTCCACTCAGGCCTGTTCTGGACCCAGGATCCTCCTTTGCCTTTGCCTGGCAGCCGGCAGGTCCTTCTACGGAGCACACCGGGCTCCACTACCAGAGCATCCGGCACATGTTCTCAGGCTGAGGGCTCTTCCTGTTCCCCACACTTATTGCCCACCTCCGTCTTCCCTTTCCAGAAAGACCTTCCGACCCACTTGCCCTGGGTCCCGTTTTGGGGAGCACACATGTGCGCACTGGGGGTGGAGGGGTCCGGGATGGGCGCCTGAGCCAAGCTGCTGGCAGGGAGGAGTTTGTGGCATTCCCCCCCCCCCCCCGCCTCCTCTTCCTAGTGCTCCTGTCTTTTCCTTCTTCTCTTTGTCTTCTCCCGAGCTTATTCTCTCGCCTGCTTTTTCATCCTCCAGGCTGCTGGGGGTCCTGCCAGCACGTCTCTTAGCTATTTTGGAATCCAAGGGGTCCACCCCCACCCCCAGCCCCTCGGGCGTCGGAGCAGGGGGTCTGCCTCGGGGCTGGGGTGGCTGCAGGCCCCACACCCCCATAAGCCCAGGAGTCATCTACACCCCTGTTCTCCACGGACCCAAATGTCGCCAGAGACCTGCACCAGTGGGATCTGCCTGGGCACCCAGCAGAGACCGCGGCGAAGAGGCTGGGGACTAAGTCCACACGCCGCTCACAGACCACTGACCAGGGCCGGACTGCAAGTCTTGGAGGACGGAGCAGGTCCCAGGCTGGCACCCAGTGCTCAGAGGGTGGGCGGGGAAGGAGGCGTGGCCTGGGCCTGCTCCCATCCAGCCACCTGCCACGCCCGCCGCCGCGCAGCCTCTCTGCCTAACGCAGCAGCACTTCTCTCTTCTGGTCTCCCAGCCCCTGGAGCTGCCAGCTACTCACTCCCAGCGGCTCCCCCGGGAAAACAGCCTTGCAGGGTCACGTCCAAACCCCAGCTTAGGAGCTCCCAGCCCCTGCGTGGCCCTTCCCCAGCATCCCATCCAAACCCCTGGTCTGCAGATCCCAAGAATGCATGTCACAGTGGCTCACAGTTACTTTAATTATTTACCTGAAGCAGAGAGAATCTGACCGACTTCAGAGAGCACCCTGGCAGGGTTGGAGGCCCCAGGATCTTGCCCACGCGCCCCCCCAACCCGCCCACGCGGTTTAAACCTGCTTCTTCAGAGCCTGGCCCTGGTGCCTCGCGTTCCCCTCGTGGAGCAGGGATCGTGCTGCTTCCTGCTCACCTCCCAGGGCGGCGCCAGCACCTCCAGCACTGCCAGTGGAAACACAGCCCAGATCGAACCCGAATGTACAAAGCGCGGACCGACTGTGCACTTGGCAGGAGGGGGCGCCACCTCTCCCGGCCCCCGCGCACTGGAGGCCTGATTCAACTCAAAGGAATCCCGTCCGCCTCGCTGTCCCCGGGCACTTGTCAGGGGACGACAGACCCCTCTTTGAGTGTGTGTTTTCCGGGGTGGCGCTGTCTGGCCCCATCGGCGCCTGCACAAAGCTGGCTCTTCGCCCCAGCAGCCACCACGTGGACTTGGCTGGGAGCCCTTCTCCACCTGGTGCTGGAGACCATCGGGGCTTTGCAGAGAGCAGTGCCTGGAGACAGAAACACCCCAAGGAAGACGGTGTTGCAGGCTCCCTTGTGGCTTAGGGCTCCGCTACCCAGGCCCGAGGGGAGGTTTTGTCCTCCAGAAGCTGGTCCGAGCACCAGGGCGCCAAGCCCCTCAGCTGGCTGAGCGGCCGCGGGCCGCCGCCACTGGGGCCCTGCCTGCTCGGCGGCTCCATGGAGAGCAAAGGGGGAAGCGCCGGCCACACACCAGGGCGGCGCTCTGAGACAGGGTGGTGTGTCCTGCTGGTCCTCCCTGCCCGGGAAGAACGAGGAGCAGGGACTCCCAGGGGCCCAGATCGCCTCTGACCATCCTCCGCATCCAAAATATGACAACTTCATCATAATCGACTCTTTTGGCTGACCACGGTTCCAGTCCTACCAGCTGCCAGAGCCGGGACACCTCCCGGGGGCCCTTCCACGGGCAGACAGAGCGCTGTTTCTTAAGCCAGCGCCTCTTGCAGATACCGAGCTGTTCAACAAACCTGGGTCCGGCGACAATGACAGAAGCCAGCGTGCCGCATCAGAGACCAGCCTATAGCGTCCCCACGGGCACCAAGCCACCGCCCTTCCCCAGACCTTTGGGCCACAGCTCTGGTGGCACAAAATCATCTGCAGGGCTTTGGAAACTACCAAAGCCGAGATCTGGGCCACACTCCCTGCACACACAAAGGGGCGTAGCCCCGAGTGACCTTTAAAAGACCCCAGGCGATTCCACTCAGGGCCAGAGTGGTGAATCAGACGATCTCATGAACCTGTCCCGCTTAGAGCAGAGGGGACGTGGAAAGGTCACTGCTTTCCCGCGGGGCTCACTCTGGGCCGCCCAGGGCCCGCACGGCGACGTCCGGCTCTGCGTCCATCCGCGCCGGCCGAGCACAGAAGGGCTGCGTGTGGAACAACACCGGACGGCCAGGCTCGAATTGCATCCTCCTGAAATTCTTGTCCAGCCCGACCCGTGATCGAGATCTTAGTTGGAAGCACGGTCTTTGCAGATGTGAGCAGGTTGAGACGCGGTCGTGCTGAATGTGGGCGGGACACTAGCCCCATGACTGGTGTCCTTAAAGGAACACGGCAATTTGGACACACGGGTACGCAGAGAAGACCGTGCAGAGACGGAGCAGGGACGGGCGTGACGTATCTACGCGCCAAGAACCGCCGGAGCCCCCAGAAGCGGGAGAGAGGCCCGGACCGGACGCTCCATCCGCACCTCCGGGAGGAACCAGCCCCGCCCACACCTGGAATTTGGGCCTCGCACCTGCTGTTTCCAGCCCCCAGGGAGGGCAGCGGGTTCCTGCAGCCTCGGGAATCTAACCTTGGGCTCCGCAGAGCCAGGCCCGGCCTCAGGGCAGGGAGGTGGCTAAGAGCCTTGCCTGACTTTCCTGCAGGGATTTGGACACAAACACCAGGAGGTCCAGGCGGGAGGACAGAGCTGCACCCAAAGCGAGGAGGCTCCGGGTGTCCTGTCACTCCCGACGGACCCCAGGCTGCCCTCGGTCCGAACCCACCGCAGACACAGCCCCGCCCCCGCCGACACTGAGCAAGTCGGTGGCACAGGGAGTGGTCCCAAGGCCCAACCCCTTCCCATTGCGCTACTGTAAGCCAGCCCCGGGGACTCAGGAGCCGCGATGCCTTCTGGCCTCGGTCTGATTCTGCCCCGGGACTCGCTGCCCAGAAGCTGGCCTGGCTCCTCCCTAAGCAGGGCCTCTCCTCCCCCTTCGAATCACACCGAGCCCCAAAACAGACCTTGCTCTCCGTAACCCCAGTTTTATGGAAACCACTCCTCAAGCAAGCCCCACGCCCAGGGGGCCCGGCCATGGGGCGCCCACAGGTAGGAGCACCTGCAGCAGAAGCAGCTTGAGGGGCCAACGGGGGTGCAGCAGGGAGCCACGGTGGGCTGGGGAGTCCAGGGGACTGCGGCTGCCAGCAGGAGAAACCCCCAGAAACCTCGGCTCGGGGTCTGTGCTTGTGAGGGCAGCCCCGCCTCCGCGCATCTGGCCTGTCAACAGGATGCCTGGCTGGCCGAGACGCAGGGGCAGAAGTTCCACCTGTTGAGAAGTCAGAGAGGGCCGTGGAGGCCCACCTGCGGTGCAACTGTCCTCTTGGTTACCCCAAACCTGTTCCAGGTCACCCCGGCTGACCTTTGCCGGGGCTGCCCAGGCCTGCACGTGTCAGGCCTGGATGCACACCTCGGGGAGCCAGCCTCTCCTGCGGCCCCTCCGCGGACAAGAACAAATAACTGGGCTCCTCCTCCCTCGCTCGCTCACTCGCTCCCACCTTTGGGGGGCAAGGAGTCCTCCGGGTTACAGATATTTCCAGGGACTCTAAGCAGCCACACAACCTGCACATACACACACACCCCCGCCTGCCACCTCCCCCCAACCCCGCCCGGTCGCCAAAGTATCCAGCTTTTGTGGATGTTCAGAAAAAGTAGTCACTAGCACCAAGCCACTCAAAGACTCGCCTTCCTGTCCAGCCCTGTGCGTAATGTCTCCTGGGCAGAGCAGGGAGCAAGGAGCCAGCCCGCGGCTCTGCGGACCTTTCTGAGCGGCCGCTCTGAGCCCGGAGCCTGCCCAGCGGAGGGAAGTGCCCATCTGCCCCCACCCAATCCAGTGAGCCCCCAAGCAGGGCTGGGGGAAGAGGCCTAGCAGAGAAGCCATTCGGCGCCCGGCCCCAAGCCCGGAGGAGCCCCACTGCCAAATCACATGGGAAAGTTTCTTCCCGGGGTCCCCAGCCCTTCATCCCACCGAGGCCAAGGCTCCCCTCCACTCCCACGCGCTGTGTCCCCCACTCTCCCCGCCCCCCACCCCCGCCCAGCGCTGGTATCCCAGGGCCCTTCGCCTGCCAAAACCCAATCCGTTCGCTGGCTCCCTTTTCTGGGGCTGGAGCTGCAGCGGAATTTCGGTGGAATTTTGAGGTTGAGAAGCATCTCGGCAGAGAGGGAAAGAAAGGGCGTGGAGGGAGGGAAAAGAAAAGTGCGATTTTGGCGTCAACTTGCGGGATTGGAGAAGGCGCCGAGAGCCGGGAGGCAGGCACTGGGTCCCTCTGCAAGACGCAGGCGGGCGGGGCGCCTGCGCACCCTCGGGGGGTCCCGCGCGCCCCGCGGGGGCGGTAGGCACCCACAGGGCCCAGGCGGCCGTCGTCCTTACCTACGTCTGCATTGCAAAACGCCTGTTGCGGGTGCACCGGGGAGCAGCTGCAGGCGTCGGCCCGGCGGAGCAGCGTCCCCAAGAGCAGGAGGCCCAGCGCGAGCCGCAGGCTGCGGGCCGCGGCGCCCATGGCGGGCGAGGGGCGCGGGCCGGGGGCGCGGGCTCGGGGCTCGGCCGCCGCCGCCTGGGTTCGAGGCGCTCCCCTCTGGGCGGGCTGAGGCGCGCGGTTTCGCTGCGCTCCCGGGCGCGCCCTCCGCACCCGGCCCGCGATCGGCCGCACAAACTTTCTCGGGTCTGTGCTGCGGGGGCGGCGGCGGCGGATGAGCGGCTGGCTCGCCGAGAAGAAAGCGGTGGGAGGCGGCGAGGCGAGCGCGCGCGGCCCGGGTCCCGGCTCCTCCACAGCCTTCTATGGATGTGTGCGCGGCGGCAGAGGCCCGAGCCGGCCTTATATAGGGCTCCGAGGGCGTCGGGCTCCGCCGACGGCCAATGGGGCTCGGGGAGCACCGGAGGCCCCGCCCCCGCGCCTCCCCGGCCCTCCCCCGAGCCCGGCTTTTGTTGTGCCCAGCGTGGGGGCTCGCCGCTGCGCACCTGGCTTCCCACCGGCCGGAGCTGCACCCCGCACCCTCCCAAATCACTAGAGGTTGGGGCGGGGAGCGACCCTGGCGGACAGAGACCAGTGGGCCCCGACTCAACACTTGGGACTCACAGCCCACTCCCCAGGGAACCGGGGGGTTAGGGGTGGGGTGCACCCACCACCTCTTGCCCTTCTCTTCCAGCTTGGTGTGGGAGGTATACACGCCCCGTTCCCTGCAACCCCTGGGATCCCGGGAATTGAACGAGAGGGGTGTGTGCTTTGGCGCCAAGGGTCTCCCTTTGGCCTGGCCCCGTGCCCCCTGGGGGTGGTGGCCTTATGAAATTTGCAGGGGACTCCTTTTTCAGATGGAGGCCTTAGAATTTTAAGTGCACTTAGTCAGTTTACTTAGAAAGGGAGAGGGAGTGGTTACGAAGAACAAAACGGGATTTTATATAAACTGGCCATATTGTTGACCGGCCAACAAGAGCCGGGGGTGGGTGGGCCGGGGGCCTGGGAGGCCATCAGACGGGAGGGAGGCGCTGGCTGGGCTCCGCGCGCAGCTCCCTCCCTGAGCCCACAAACGTGGGAGCTGGAGGACTTTTCCCAAAACAGGCCTGTGTTCCAGAAGGGGCGGAGAATCTTAGAGGTGTGGACGCCTGTGAAGGAGGATGAAGTGTGACCCCCGGGGACCCCGTCTGCCTGTCACTGAGCCGTCCGCGCGCCCCTCCGCGCTGAGCAGCTGCACACGGGACCTCCCGTTTGCCGGCAGGACGCTTCTAGTTCAGCTGGGGAGGTGTAAAGGGAAGAAAATGACACAATTAAAGAATAATTGCCTGCTAAACTGCGTGGTGCTGACTTGAGATATGAAACTGGAAAATACCGAAAGAGTGGAAAACCGTTTCCTTCTGTTTCTGGGCCCTTTGAAACAGACAACTTGGAGAAAAGTTAACGGGGCAAAGCAGTATTTTAGCATCCTGACAAACCCGAACTCACTTTTTCGGCTTTTGTTCCTGTAAAGTAGTGTCACATGCTCTTGGCTCGGGTGCCAAGCGGGCGCAACAAGGCGGAGAATTCAGGGGAAGGGCTTTAGCTCTGACCTCAGCTCCAAGGCAGGAGGACTGGGTCAGGGCGCCTCCCGCCCCGGCAGGAGAGGGAAGGAGCAGGCAATGCGGTGGTGGCCACAGATCCCGCCCCGTGTACTTCTGAGCTCAGCCTGGGGACCTGGCTCCCAGCGGGACAGAGAGGAGGGGTGGTGCCTGCCAGGCAGGCTGGGGAGGGGGCTTCTAGGACCCTCAGACCACACTGTGGGGCTGCCACTTCCCACCAGGAACACTCACCTTGCCCCTTTCCCCCAAAGAGACTCTCCCGGCAGAGAGCCCAGCAGGACCCTCAGCGCCCCAACCCTGCCTGGAGACCCAGCGAGCTCTTCCTGGGCTCAGCTTGGCGGAGTCAACGTGGTCCAGGGCCAGGAGGAAGGGCCAGCGCCTCCTCCCGCCTGTCTCAGGTATGGAGTCAGAACGGCTTCACAGGCCCGGGCAGGAGGCCCCAACAGCCAGGCTCCGTCCACCGAGCTCAAGGAGGAGCCTCCTCCCGGTGGACTCACTCTCCCAGTGGACTCACTCTCCCAGTTTGGAGGCGTTCCATGTCCCCCTGAGCCTGGAGCGTCGCCCACCCCCCACCCCGCCGGAGATAGTGATGGGACAGTGAGAAGCCCCGTGCTCCTCCAGGCAGGTTTCTAGAGTCGGATGCTGTACGGGCGTGGGCGTGAAGATGGCCCCGCCCGCGCAGGAAGCCGGGCCTGGAGGAATGAGCCTGTCCCGGGCAGGTCTGAGGTGGACGGCAGGGCGGCGGGCGGCGGGCGGCGTGGGCAGGGGTGGGGGGGCGTCCACGTGCCTGGCTGCCCTGGGGTTTCTGTGGCGTAGGATGTGTGGTCTCTGGCTCGAAGATCACAATAGGCCCCCCACCAACTCTGGGCATCCGACTCGTGGCCACAGTAAGGAGGAGGTGCCACCAGCCCAGTTATCTGTTCCCAACATCCCCTGGCGGGGCTGTGTGACAGGAAGGGGTCGAGAGTGACTGAGCCGTCTATCGCATGAAGACAGGCCACAGGTTACTGCAGAGGCGACATCGCATCTCCAAGGTCGGCAGTGGACACTCTGCCGCACGTTCCCGTTTTCCTTTCATTTCATTAACTTTACTATTATTTTTTTATCCTCGCCTGGAGACATGCTTATTGATTGTAGAGGGAGAAGGGAAGGGAGGGAGAGAGAGAGGGAGACTTGTCATTGGGTTGCCTCTTGTCCACGCCCTGACCAAGGACTGACCCCACAACCCAGGCGAGTGCCCTGACCAGTAATTGAACTCCCGACCTTTTGGCTTATGGGACGACAGTCCAACCGACCAAGCCAGGCCTCATTACTCTTGTTATTAATTCTCTTCGGCCAGGGCTGGCCTCTCAGCCTCAGCACTGCTGACCTCTGGGCCAGAGCAGTCCCTGGCACGGCCTGTGCTCTCCAGGGTGTTGAGCAACATCGCTGGCCTCCACCCTCCAGATGCCAATAACACCGCATCCCAAGCTGTGACAACCCACATATGTCCAGACGTTGCTCAATATCTCCTGGCTGGGGGCAGGGTTGTGGAGGGGGAGGCAAAACCATCCTGTTGACAAGCCCCAAGTGATAAAAATCTTTGGTCGTGAGAAAAGCAAAACACAGAGGCAGAAGTTTTTGTGCACATCAGCCTGTGTCCTGGATACACCCGTCTGTCCGCCTCAGTTCTCAGGGAGGGGAGGCCAGGGATGTTAGAAAGGTTGTTTTTTGAAAAAGGGTCCGTGAGTAAACAGCCTGCATGATATTTCATTTATGGTCAATTAAACATATCTGTGGCCCCAGCTGGTGTGGCTCAGTGGGTCGGAGCGTCGTCCCAGAAACCAAAAGGCCACGAGGGCGATTCCCAGTCGGGGCAGGTGCCTGGGCCGTGGGTTTGGTCCCCAGTCGGGGCGCATGCGAGAGGCAACCGATGGATGTTTCTCCCTTACGTCGGTGTTTCTCTCCCTCTACCCCCACTTCCTCTCTCTCTAAAATCAGTAGGCACGTCATCGAGGGAGGGTTACAAAAAATTAAACACACGCACGGATCTAGACAGGTGTGTGAAAAGCTGTTCACCACTCAGGTGGTGGGGCGGCTCCAGGCGGAAGGGACTCGGGTGGCAGGACAGAGGCCAGTCACACCCAGCTTCTTGGGCAGGGACAGCGACGTTCAGACGCGGGTTCACCCCTAGACTAGGCAGCTCCGGGGGCCTCCTGTCCTTTCCGGCCAGCACTGTGACACCCTGCTCTGGTGGCGGCTCCCTGAGGCTCCCACCTTCGCGTGACCCCCCTCTGCCACCTGCCTGCTCGTGGCTCGTGCCCTCGCCGGGGCTCCGTCTGCTGCGTGGGTGGCTGTGTTTTAAGCCCATGGAGCCTCTTTCCGACGGCGGGGCTTGGCCTCTCCCCTTCACGGTCTGCCCATGCACCCGTGACCCCCCTCTCTCTCCTACCAGGCAGGCACCCCTCAGGGCAAAGGCGGCCTTGAGCCAGGGCCCCCACCTTGCGTACCTGTCTGGACACAACCCCTGCTCCCTGAGAAGCCAGGTCCAGGCGGCCGTCCCCACACCAACCATGACATCCTGACCCAGACCCCCGCGACTCCTGCAAGAAGGGAGGGAGGCGGGCTGTCCGGGGGTCCATAAGCAGCCCATGGAGGCATTGGCTTGAAAAGACGGCCGCGTCGGAGCCCCGACAGCCCAGGCTGAAAGTGCCTGCCCGGAGGAGTCCGGGGAGGCGGCTCTGGGGCCGGGAAGCCTTCGCCGACCTTGGTCCACGGGAACTGTGACAGGACACTGCCTCTTCTCCCTGCCCTGCGTGCCCTCCTTCCGGGAGCGTGGGAGGGTCCACGATTCCCATGGGGGCGCCCCTGAGCTCTGCCTCCCTCTCCCACCCCCGACTCCCACTCCTCCCCCCTTCCTAGGGCCCTCCCCGGATCCCCCTCTAGACATCACCCCTGTGGAAAACAAAGGGCTCGCGAGACCGAGCAGGGCTGCTGCAGGCCTCCGCGGAGCGTTTTCTCATGCCCAGGCTATTTCCTCTTGGCCCCGGGCATGTGGTCATGTGCTTCCTCCCTGGGCGGGCGAGGGAGCAGGGCCAGGGAGCGGAGATGGGGACCCAGGGCTCCTCCGTCCCGGGCTTCAAGGAAGCAGCCTCAGCTGGCTCCGGGGACCAGGGGCCGGCGAGGGGCGAGAGGCGAGGCACCTGGGGGACTGGCTGCCCAGCTCAGCAGGAGCCTGTTGAGGCTGAGTTTTCTTGGTTTCGGGTTCCCCTCCTGGGGAGCCGAGAGGCCGGAGGCTCAGGTTTCCCGCCCGCCTGCCGGCCCGCCATTCTCCTCTTCCTCTGGTGCTGGGAGTGACGGCCCTTGGCCATGATGTCACTGCCTAATCCAAACAGAAGGGGCTGGTTTGGCGGCGCTGGCGGGCGGCCCATGCTGAGAGCAGCAGTAAATTTCATTTCAAGGCTATGATTAGGGCCGTGCCCAAGAAAATCCTCTCTCTGCTTCCCACTCCCCAATCCCGTCTTCCTCTCCCTGTTTCTGCCAGGTCCCCCCCTCCGCTCTCTCCCCTGTGATGCTTCAGGTGTCGCGAGGTCAGCCCCGTGGTCAGCGGCCCCGAGCACCGTCAGTGCCCGGTCCGGGTCCTTGCCCCCTTCCGATGCCAACCTGCCCGCCCCCCAGCCCAGCGCTGTGACCGGCTGTGGAGCCCAGGGGATGGGATACGTACCAGCCGCCAGACGTCATCCCGTGGAGCTGGGGAG